AGGGTCTGTGGTTCTGAAGTTTGGAGTTTTGAGCTTTAAAAGCTTTAAGACCTTCGGGATGTTCTTGCTGAGGCTGCGGCTATGGGCTTCAGGGTGTTGAGCTTCCGAGGTTGAATGCTTAGCCTATGTGGTCGGTCCCGATTCGAGGCAGGCGTCAGACTGCGGGAATGGCTGCGGTTGTGTGTGGCCTTAGTTCGGGAATATGTTGAAATCTTGCGGGTGCTGCTGCTGTGGTTGTCGGGAATGTACTTGCGTTGATGCTGAAAACTGAGCGTTACGAGCATGCTGCACATCGATCTTGCATGCGACTGTTGAGGATTTGGTGAGGCTTGCCACTCTAACCCAAACCCCCTCTGTTTGCTGAGATGGCTGCCGGCAGCGCAGCACTCTCCTCATCGGAAGCCAGCCAATCGGAGAGCGCCTGGAGCATTCATGGCAACTAGTGGTCCCAATTGGGAGATCCGTTTTATCATAGGCATCCCCCACTATCCAGGGTTTACATTGTCATGGAGCTCCGTGGCTAGAACTGCCAGCTTTATCTCACCGCGTCTTTTTGTCATGATCTACTGCACAACCCTGTGTCCACTCCGCCCTACCGCCCGCAACTCAGACGCAGACTCTGGTCTGGTCCGGCTCCTGTCATAATAGTATAAACAGCAATCATATAATAATATAAACAACAAATGTCGATAAGAACTGTTATACTAATTACTAATAGCAACAGTAACAACTAACAAGAACAATAATGATGAGATAACCAAGATAATGATGCTGATACTAGCAACAATAATCGCAACAGTGTTAGTAATAGTCATAGTAATAGTAATGGTAAGAATAGTAGCAGCAGTGGCGCGCATGGCTCTTGTCTTGCTTCCACGGTGTCTAACCATTCAAGGCGCTCTGCAGGGAGAAACCTTTATGCACACGGTCCAACATGGAGATCGGCATCACACTGCACATAAGTCAGTTCGAGACGGGTGTCCTTGCTGGCGGCTGGCTCCTGCATGGCGACACGAAGCACCAGAAAGCCCCGCTTGTAAAGATCCGCAGACCCCAAACCCTAAACTCCTGAACCCTTAAGCCCCTTTCAGTACCTTCACAATGCTTCTTTTGCACTGAGCACCTCCTCATCTTCCGGGTCCCTCTGTTCGGGCTTGGCAATGTCGTACTGCCCCTGGCAACTCAACGGAAAACTTGGAGTTCGTCGGCAGCTCAGGATCACCCGGCCAACCCCGGCCATGTGTGCCTCCAGAAGCTCCAGTGCGTGCACCTTTGGCCACTCGAATGGTCGTCAAAATTAGGGTCCCTTTTTGTGTACCCTAAATTAAATTATAGGTGCCGTATTATAATAGGGACCCAACAAGGGACCATAATTTTGACAACCACCCACTCACCAAACGAACACTGCTGGTTGTGATGTTGTACAGCGATGGTCAATGGTCGCTGCATCGCAAGGAAGATCACACTGACGACACCGGCGACGTCAACGACCATGACCACGACGATGAAGATGAGGATGATGCTGATTATGATGATGATGCTGGTATGACGCAAAAGAAGAAGATCGATATGATGCCTGAATACCATGTTTGCTCACATTATAGATGCTGAAAGTTGGAAGTGCTCGTATTCGTCATCCACATTATCTATCGCAACATCGAACATCGACATCCTCTACAGCATTCTTTACATCCTCATCCTCGTCCGCCTCATCGTCATCATCATCCTGGTAACATCGCTCCTCTGATTTGCGATTTCCTGCGTTTCCTACACAATTTTGCACGCAACAACCCACCATCCCGAAATTCGAGAGCCGCACGTGACGGGCTGAAATGGGCGGCCCAGCATCCTGGTCCGGGGTCGAAGCACGAGCTCATAGAGCAGCCTCTATGCGTAAACCAATGATTATTGTAAGGACTACTATAAGGGCCTCGTATACGGGGCTTCAGAGTTCGAACAGGTTTTGGGGGAAAATTATGGTGTACTTTATGCTAGAGAGCATAGTACTAATGATGGCGAACCTAAGCCGATGGTGCAATACCGTTTCCATCGCATTGTGGGGTTTGCTGGGTCTCGATCGAGACATGTGATTTCAAGAGCTATAGAGATTGCCATCTGCCTATTCAGACCTAACTGGTAACAGTCCGACCGCAGCACTCTCACTCTCTCCCTCCCGCCCTCCTTCGGTCCCAAAACATTCCGCCCTGGCCTGCAGGTCGATCCTGCGCCCGTTGCAGACCTGGTTTTCTGAAATCCCGAACTGCTGCACCGACGCTGGCAGACTGGGGCACGTGCCCACACAGCTGCCGGCACAGAGCCTCCGTCCATCACGAAGTCCAGCACTAGCACTGTAATTGAAACACGTTTTCTGCCCGTGAATCTGTGGGACGACAAGTCAACAGCGCAAGCAGCTCAACCCTGCGGCACAGCCAGCAACCCCCTTGCCTTCAGATGTCAGGCTGGCCAGCAGCTGTCTCTCCTAGACAATCGGCTTTTGTGCACCATCAGATCGGCCCACCCCAATATCAAATCATGGATCCTCGGGTGGAGCTTCGGAAGCAGCCAGGCTAGCCTGAGCCCGCACAAGGGGGGACCAGCTAGCATTCTGGCAATTCTGGCCTTGCACTCGTCACTAGTTCATCAAAAGCTGCTCCAGCTGACTCGAGCTGCAGCGAACTTTTGCTAGGAGACGCGTCTACTCGCCTTTTAAGTCTCATCCTGCATCCTACAGCCGGGCTGCTCTTCTCTGTAGGATTTTGAAGGTACCAAGCCTCCGCTGTCGGCCGCAGCTGCAGGTCTATCTTCTTCTCCACCGCCAGCCTGGTGGGTCCAGTGGCACTGACCGAACTGGGGCAAACACGGACACTGAAGGGAAGTGCAACGCACCATCTGATGCATCTGATACTCGACAGTAAAGCCATGGTCTTCTCCAGATATGTGCCCTCAGCTTTCTGGCTCCATTGGACATGCATCCCACAGCTTCAATTCATCAACCCCTTAGCAATCCGGTACAACAGCAGCGTCTCCAATACCTGAGCCATTTGAGTCCCAGAGCTCTCCGCGCCTGCACAGCTCCTCCACGCGTGCCGCCGACAGGCCCGGATCTGGCTGGGGTGCTTCTGCTTGGGGTCGAGAGCTCTTGGCAGAGAAACATCCAAAAGGCCGTCAGTTGGGTAGTTGCCTTCATGGAGTTTCTGGCCCTGCGGCTCCGAGCCGATGCTTCTAAGAATGCGCTGCACATGCTATCTATCCGGAGAGTCGGAGTGTTGAACGCAACTCGGACAGTGTAAAACGGTAGAACCCAGAGAAGCTCATCCACCTGCCCGTAGCGCCGTCGGAAGAGCGAGTCCCAAAAATTTCAGGAAGCTGAGCTTTTGCCTGGTGCAGGGCTGCACAAACCAGAGACGATGGGCCAGCACCAACCACCCCTCCCAGCTAAAGGGCCAGAAGTTTCGGGCCATTTTTCGTCTTCTGCGAATCAGAGCCGAGATGGGACGTCGGTTCTCAGTTCGTGTCGAATCCGCGTCACCTTGGCTCTCCACTTGCAAAAACACTCCCGCTTGCACAGTCTGCTCAGAAGGGAGTCTTCTGCGCATCCTAGCTCAAGCTTTTCGACTAAGCCCCGGGGACTCTACTTGGAAAACCTTCGAAGCCACCTTGGCCTTGGGGCTCCGGCTGTGATCTCGTCCCAGCCGACGTCTGCAGCCACCGCGTGTAGGAGCCCCGGCACTGGAGCCAACTCCAGGCACCTGGCAGGATCCTTTTCTTCACCCTACTGAGCCGGAGACACTCTGCCTGGCTAGGCTGAGGATAATATTTCATTGCAGCTGCTTCCGCTCGAGGCGGCAGTCTCTCATTGTTCATGGCACGGGCCAGTGGGGTCGCCTTGCAGCGGCAGCCCAAGGGGCGCTAGGGCCGCTAACTTTGGCGGCGCCGAGGCCCGTCAGGCTCTGCGCGAGGTCCCTGCAAGCTGTGAAACACAGGCTTGGGCTGTGCAGCTGTGCAGCTACTCCACCAAAATGTTCTGTAGCCGTGTGTCACACAAGGTGACGGCGTCGCGACTCTGCAAATGATCCTTGATCTTGCGATATATGTTGTCATGCAGGTGCTGTTTTGCACTCGTTTCAACTAGCTGAACTGGAAAGATATGACCTCGCTGTTGCTTTAACGGAGAAGTGATGCGAGCCGAGTGTGTTGGCAGCCCGATGGATGGTCAGCCATGATTGCAGGTTCCTCGAAAAAACATAATGACAGTTGTGGTGGCCTTGGTAGGGCTAGGTCGTGAGTTTGCGGAATGTGATACGGCTATGGTACTGTCTGGAACTGGAGTGTGGGAGTCTGCAGTGAGTGTACCCGAACTGCAAAGCAAACGAACTGGTGTTTTGTTTGAGCGCATCGCGAGAGGGCGGCAGCTTGAATGATAGGGCGCAAACAAGAAGCGAGGATTTCGAGGAATATCGTTTGCCGTGGAAGCTCGAGACTGGATAGTTGCTTTTCAATCTGATCATGGACATGGAGCCCTTGCTGTGCTGCCTCTCTCCTTGAACAGCTTGACGGGCAAGCGCCAGGAGCAAGGGCAGCCAGCGGCGAGCCCTGCCTCATCCAAATGGCATCTCCCCCTACTGCATCTGTAAAGCCAAAGAATCAGCACAAAAGTTCCAGAAAGCCAAGTGAACCGAATGGGCAACACCTTTGCAGCAGGTGCTTCTCCGGCCTGCTTCGGGGACCATCGCCCAGCAAGCTTCGATGGCGGCAGCCAAAGAGTCCAGTTCACGTGCCGTGGTCGAACTGACCTTCCCTCCTGGTCGAGTTTGAACACTGTCACCACGACCACCGCTGTCCGACCGCCGGGATGACCATCATCGACACGACAAGCCCAGAACAGCTCACAACAAGACATCATGGCGACTCAAGGGATGGATGATGGTGATGAGGATGACATGCGATTCATTAATCTGGTCATGATGATAAGGGGCCTGAAGATCTTCGCCGCACCCAGCCTAAATCTCCCGGCCTGCAGAGGCCACCAGAGGCACGGCCACCACATGGAGCTGCGGGGAGTTCTTCTCTTGCCGGCGTGCGTTTACCGCAGCCCCACCGGCTTCGGTCTCGGCCTCGGCTACGTTTTGCTGCTGCTGCTACTACTACGACGACTACTACTACTACTACTACTACTACTACTACTACTACTACTACTACTACTACTACTACTACTACTGGACTCTAACTTCTTCTTCTTCCACTTCTACTTCTATATTTCTTACTGCTACCACCACCACCACCACCAACACCACCACCAACACCACCACCAGCACCTGCCACGAGCTGCTGCTGCTGCTGCTGCTGCCGACCCTGCTTGGGGACGTGACTGATCGAATACCGACATTGCTTGCAACTATACCGTATAGACTATACCGGTTCAGGGGCTGCAAGGATTTCCGGCAGGCACATCCGTGTTCCCTTCCTCGACCTGCTCTACGACTTACCCCCACTCCCATCTCTCACTTTCCACTCACTTCCACCCACCCCAGCCGCCACCCGCAAATCTCCGCAGATCCCTACCACATACCCGCTACCATCACTCGACCAAAACAAGAAAGCGCTGCCAAAAAGCTACGAAAACCTGACCTTACCCCTCCAATCAGGACGCCAAGTGGCGCGAAACGTCATGCCCACGCACATTCCAAAGCAAAAATCGTCGCTCTCAGACTAGCTGGTGAAGTCACACCAGGCACCATGACTCTCCAAAAAGGCTTTGCAACAACCAAAAAACTCACGCGGCAAGACCTGCTGGTGAAACGGACGAAGAACACCACCTTCGATAGTATTGGTTTTTTCGCCACAGGTTGGGCCAGCATCACGAGCATCATGCTTCAGCTTTGGTTTGCTTTTGCGGAAGGAAATTATTTAGAACACGACATCGGCGGCGGCCAAGCTGGCTAAAAAAACTAGAATGTTGGAAGCAGTGCTTGCGCGCGCTAAGGCAGCTCTCACGGTCCTCGGCGCGGCCGGCTCTGAGCGGCAGGGCAATCCACACTGTTACTACCAAGGTTGAAACAAGACGAGATGTCCCGATTTTCAGAGTATTCTCCACCCTCAGAGACAGGCTCCACATAAGCCACACCACTCGCTACCAAGGCTCTCTGATACTCTCCTGGTCTTCACATCAAGGCTGTCAAGACAATACCGTTCCTCACTCTGAAACATAAACCCTAAAGCCGCCTAAAGCCCAAAAACCCCAAGCCATCCCAAGCCTTCAACCACGAACCCTGAACCCTAAACCTCCAAAACCAAAAAAAAAAAAAAAAAAACGAGCTCTGCTGCTGCGGAGCCGACACGACCAGGGCCCCCATTTCGGGCCACAGCGCCGGGCCGAAAGCATCCGAGAGCTCCTTCGACTTGAGCCTAAAACCCTAAACCCTAAAATCCCAAACCTTAAATTCCTGAATCCTAAACCCTCAAAACCCAAAACCTTAAAACCCAGCGTTTTAGCATTTGAAGGCTGAGGGATTTAAGGTCTTAGACTTGATTTTGGTTGTTTGGAGGTATGTAACGGGATTTGTATGGCTTGGGGATGCGGAGGGTATGATCTTCGTCATCATTCTCATCAACATCATCGGCATCACCATCAGCATCGTTGCCACTATCATCAGCATCGTCATCGTCACGATCATCATAACCATCATCATACGAGTAGCTGATCACAATTTTCACTATCCATGTAAGTTTCGCCAGGCACTTCACCACTTTACCATGCAATCATTTCAAGTCTGTGAACCTGATGACTACGTGTTTTAGGCGTCGCCAATCCAAACGTGAATGTCTCCTTAGAACTGCGAGACACATCCATAACTACGATTGCAAACACGCCAAGTTTCCAACCGCCTTGAGCCCCAGCGTCTAGAGCACAGGACACACAATGGTCGAAGCTTTCACCCTTCGTGCTCGGATGCCTCCACACGTACCTGCAGATTTGGCCGCAGGACTGCCAAGAAGTCCTTCCGAACAGCATGGCAGACAACAAAATCTCAGCTATGTGAGAACAGAGCGAGCTTGTCTCTCTGGCTTCTTGTCCACCACAGTCGCAGCTCGCTCGCCCCAGTCTTGAAGGATGGACGCACCTGCCTCCGAAGCCAGTCATAACACGAATAGCACGAACCCGAGAAGTGCTACTAAAGTTCATGTGAGATAGCTCCAGCTCTAGCATCACTCTTTGCAAAGAGCAGTAGCGATTCATCGAGCCCTCTGTCGTCACTTGTGTTGGGCAATGCTCGGGTGAGAAACCCCACATGCCTGCCTTCTCTCGCAGCAATGGTGGGCCGGAGACACCGATAGCCAGGCCTCGCTTTCAGGAGCCAAGAAAACGACTTCCGGATTCTCGGAACGTGATGGGTTGATTCATGTTGCTTCTCTTTGCTAGCTGAGATGTGCAGCTCTTTGCCGAAATCCGCCCCTCACTCTCAGAAGATGAAACCGGAAGGCTCGCTTCTGAGTGGTTCTGACACATGCAGATACATGCAGACGACCCGGTTTCGGAGACCACCAACCCCTGCGAGCTGCTTGCTAACATGCGACAACATGCACAAGCCCACAAGACTCTCCGGATAACGGCCATCTTCACATTACATTGATTTGCTTGACTGCTTGCAGACACTCCGGGCACCTTGTTCAGCCATCACAGCGGCCACGGTCAGTAAGACCTGCTCACGCACACGATCATTGAAGACAACAGATGAAAGACTTGACTGACGGGCGGGACCATCCATGATGAGCAGAATGCAAGCATCTTCCTGCAAAAACCTCACGGTTGTCGTGCAAGGTCGAGGTTGCCTTGTGTCCCACATGCAGCCGATCGAAAGTTCCACCCAGGACCACATAATCCTGAGTTCAGCCTAGACCGTGGCGATTCTGAGCAGAAGCAAAACAAGAATGGACCAGCCAGGATGCGAATTTCTCGCCTCGAAATTGGCATGGAGGGGCCCGTTCAGATCCTTCCAGACAGGTACCGCTAACCTCGCATGGTGCAGAATGGCGCAGATCTCCCACTCCTGCACCCAGGTTGGGCAGCACGGACATGTCCTGACCGCCGGCAGCTCCAGAAAGATTGACAAAGACCAGTTGCACAGTCCTCGAAGATGGGCAGCTTCTCTTGGCGAGCTACGGCCCCAAGGCGCTCGTAGCACGCCTGCAGGAGCTCCGCTAGCTCCGCAGCAGACTGGAAAACTCCGTTGTCTAACCTGCGCTGTTCGGGCAATGCACTCTCAATATTCCCTGTGCGTTTCAACTCTGTAGCGATTCTCAAAAGCCATGGTGCCAGAGTCGCAGCTGGCGTGTCTTTGGCGCCCCTGCAACCTGCTGAAAGACGTGTGGATCGAGATAGCCGTGTGTTTACCCTTGCTGGTCTATCATCGCCTGCTCCAGGAGGTCCTTCCGGCACAAGGAGGCGTCCACGTGAAGCTCCGCGAAGGACGGCTGGGCAGCAGGCAGACTTCGCCAATACCCTCCTGGCACACCTTCGACCTAAGCCGGTTGCGCCTGCGACTCCAGGCGGGCAAGCAGCTCGTGCGCCGCCATGGGTGCACTGACTGCTCAGCCCAGGTACTGCAGTCTTCCCGCTTCCGATCTGTTAAGCGAGACATGGAAATCAAAGCTTGGGGTGTCTGTCGTGGTGCTCTCGGATTCAGAGCTGTTCCCTAGCTTCGTAGCAGCCACTGAAGAAGGCTCGAAGCAGAAGGACGTCACATGTTCAAGGAGAAACTAGGGTTGAGACCACCAAACGTCCTCCTACCACTATACTGCCGGAAAGAAACCAGCAGAATGCCTGTGGATACTCCGAATCTCCTCCGGCTCGCTGTCGGGGGCCTCGCGGTCAAGCTCTGCCCCGGGCTGGATTTTTGAAGATCTTGGGCCCTTGGGGCGGCTGGCAAGACGGAGAGAGTGCAGGAAACTGTGACAGCCTCGTGGAACCATCTTCTTTCACTCTTGTCTTCCGCTCTGATGCATCTATGTGGGCCGGCCTTTAGCTTCATCAGGCCTCGCACACATGCTCCGAGCTGCGTCAGGATAGGTCCTGGCAAGTGCTGCCGCACGACCACGACAGCAGCACTTCTGAATGCTCAGCGGTGCTGATGATCCAAACAATTCCGTTCCATGTAAACGTCTCCAAAACCTGCAACATGAACTCAACTCGCCATCTGCCTGACTCATCTATGAGCACGGCGAGGTGTGAGGTGTACGCCTGGCCTTCATAGACTTTGCAAGTTGCTGAACTGCGTCGTTCTTGGCACTGTTAGCTCTTGCCAGGATCCTGCCTCTGAGGACTAGTGCAATGCTTGCTTTGTCAATTACAGGCTTAAAGCCTTCGCTGAGGATGTAAGCTCAGTCACTGGCCGGTGGACACATCGCGGGAGGGCGCGAGCAAGTGAGAAGCCAAGGCTGCCAGAAGATACCTGGCCAGCGCGAGCTATGGCACAGCTTCCGAAGTGCAAACTTGTGTCGATCTCTGCAAACCTGAGCCATGTGCTCACAAACCCGGGGTGCATCTCGACTCAAAATGCAGAATTCCCCAACCGCTTGGGTCACGGGGGATGGCTGTCAGCACTCCCTTTTTGCTCGACTCTGCAACCGTGCAGCAGGGAAGCACATGTGCAACGGCGGCACCGCTGGAACACAGCTCGCAGCGATTATCGACTAGATTATTCACGAGGCAAGCATTGCAATGCTTGCGCAACCAGCGCATGGCGAACATGGCTGACCGGAACACATCGATACTACTATACGTACTGCTACACTGCCAGATATCAACTGTCCTTCCATCTCAGGAATCCCGGACCCAGGCTTTGTCAAACAATGCTGCAAACAGAACAACTTCGTTCTGGGCGGGAGGTTTGAAGAACAGCTGCCACAGTTGAGGTCCTTCCACCTCTGGAAGCGGAGAACCCAGTAACTCTTGAGGGTACACTGGGATCTCTGTCGACAGCATGTTAATCAGAACGTCTTGGCTACTGCGGTGCCAGGTCATCTGAATTCAAAATTTGCACGGCGCCGCCCCGTTTGACAAGGCATAACATCCCCGAAACATACCAAAACTCGAGTCGACCTATTTCAATCCATCCTAAACCCCAAACCCTAAATTCCTAAAAAACGAGTCTAACTAATCCAGTCCTGTTGAAAGTTCATAGCAGGAGCCCTGGATTTTCGAGCCTAGGCCGAGCACAAGATCCATCCAAAGCTGCAGTCCTGAAAACCCCAAAGCCTCCGGGCTCTAATCCAAAACCCTTAGGGGTTTAGGGCCAGTTTAGGGTTTACGGTTCGGGGGTTCAGGGTTTAGGGGCTTAGGGTTTCGCCCTAAAAAGAAAAGATGGGAACTTACAAAGCTGTCAGGCTGGGTTCACCCCTAATACCGAACACTTCCTCGACTTCGTTTTCGTCGTGCTCGTGCCGTAGCGAATGTACCGGCGCCACACCACTACCCACACCCCTGCCGCTACCGCTACCGCTACCACTGCCGCTACCGCTGCTGCTACGGCTACTGCTACTGCCACTACTACCACTACTACTACTACCACTACCACTACCACCACTACCACTACCACTACCACTACCGCTACCGCTACCGCTACCACTACCACAACCACCACGACGACTACTACTACTACTACTACTACTACTACTACTACTACTACTAGTACTACTACTACTACTACTACTACTACTACTACTACTACTACTACTACTACTACTACTACTACTACTACTACTACTACTACTACTACTACTACTACTAGTACTAGTACTAGTACTAGTACTACTACTGCCGCTACCACTACCACTACCACTACCACTACCACTACGATTACTACTACTACTACTACTACTACTACTACTACTACTACTACTACTACTACTACTACTGCTACTGCTACCACTACTGCTACTACTACTACTACTACTACCATTCCTACTACTACTACTGCTACTGCTACTGCTACTGCTACTACTACTGCTGCCACTACTACTGCTGCTACCACTACAACTACCGCCACTACCACTACCACTACTACTGCTACTACTACTACTACCACTACTACCACAACTACTTTTGCTACTACTACTGTTGCCACTGCTACTGCCACTGCTTCTACTACTACTACTACTACTACTACTACTACTACTACTACTGCTACTTCGGCTACTGCTTCTGCTACGACTACGACGACTACTACTACTACTACTACTACGACTACGACTACGACTACGACTACTACTACTACTACTACTACTTCTGCTACCTTTTCTACTAGTACTTCCTCTTCTACCAGTCACTACGACGACTCTACTCTTCTATCAGCGTGGAAACAGCAGCAACAACAGCAAACAACAGCAGCAGAAGGGTCAAGCAATAGTCCCCTCATCTGAACTCCTTCTCTCGTCAACAGGGTCTCGCGCCGTGACCTAGTAGGCCGCACAATGCCACTCACATTTGCATAGCTCGCGATCCTGGCAGCAGGTTGGGAGTGCTAGGCTGCCGGCTGCTGTACTCAAACCAAACAGGCTGTACAAGTCGTGGATCGTCATTGCTATCCCAGTTCTTGTTGTAATCATAACAAACATCATCTATATCATCGTGGCCCCTTTCCATGAACTACGACGACGAGAGGTGAGTTGACGATGATGATGATGATGACGCTAGCAACTGTGACGATGATGGTGATGATGATGAGGAGGAGGAGGAGAATCAGGATGATGATGGTGGTGATGATGATGATGACTCCCATGCAGTGGGCAGCGATGAAGGATGATGAAAGTTGATGTTTAGTGATAATACTACTACTGCGACCACGACTACGACTACGACTGTATAGACAGTGAGATGGATTGTGAGAAGCAGAATCTCGCTCAAGCCTTGATAGGATGATGCCTGAGTCTCTGGGAGCATAGTGGTGAGCGCATGCAACGCATAGACCATCGAGCCTTCTTTCGGATTTGCGGAAAACATGCCAAGGCTGCTGTGTCTCCAAGCTTAGTTGAAGTTTTCTCGGCGGGACCTGCCAAGAAGAGTGCTCGCCGTCGCAAACAGGAGCAGTGAGAGAAGCTGGCCTCGGAGGGCTGCGGGATCTGGAATCGGATGAGCTGCGGCGCCGCCTTCCTCCTTTCTCTTGCTGGTGCCTGCATGCCAGGAGGGGATGTGAAACTGCTTCACTGCCAGCGACTGAGAGGTGAGAAGAACGATAACTTTAAGCTAGCAGCTTCATGAAGAGCTCGCGCGCTGTGAGGTGGCGATTACCACCGTTGCTGATGTCATCACCTCTGTTGTCTCCACCGAAGCGCTCACCTTTGCCTCCCTTGCCCTTGCCGCCGCCGCCGCCCCGATCGTCTCGTCGGTCATCTCGGCGGTCATAGTCGCGACGGTCATCCCGGCGGTCATCACGGCGGTCCCGGCGGTCGTCACGGCGGTCATCTCGCCGATCATACCCTCCGCGACGATCATCCCGGTCATAGCCACGGCCCCCGCCGCCGCCGCCGCCTCCGCCGCCCCCATCCAAAGAGACGTTCACGGCTCGCATCTTGCCTTTGCGATCGTCGTACTCCGCGTCGAAACTGACCTTGTCCCCTTTGCCCAGGCCCTTGCACCCTTGTAGGGAGGACGTGTGGCAGAACAAGTCCTCACTGCCGTCGTCTGGGCCTGCAAACAAAACGTGCGGTGGAGCATGCAAGCAAAGACGGGACAACGTGCCGGGGACAGCAGTGATCGCAAAGGTGCCTATGAAGCCAAAGCCCTTGTCATCATTCCAGTTCTTCACGACGCCTGTCTTCGACATGTCTCCTGTCACGAGCGAATAGTCACTGCTACTGCAACGCCCTCAAATCTGCGGTCCTGGCAGTTTGGGGGGTGCGCACTGAAACACGAGGACTACCCCTCCACACCCTGCTGAGTTTGCAAGGCAGCATTCGGAATTCGGGCATTTATGGCCAGTACATCAAAGCTCGAAGCACCTACAAGTTGCTGTATGCTACGAAGCCGCAGTGGCGCTCCCAGTACTCTTTTTCCTTCTGCAGCACTGCTGTACGCAAGCTATCGCTCAGGTGCAGTTGCGTTGCAGGACCGGGCCCTCAGTGCGAAACAGCTGCAGAGCAGAATGTGTACTGCTTGAGGCACCGCAGCGACTAAGTTTGTAGAGAAGGTCCTCGACCCAACCCAATCTCCGTCTTTCATGGCTTGCTGGCAGACTCATCTTGCTTGCGCTTGCCAATTTAGCTTTTGGTGCGCGGGATGAGGCATCAAGGTACTTCTACGAGGAATCTGAGAAATGCTGAAAGCTGTATGTATATTACTCCTACTGCTACTCCTCTTCCTCCTCCTCCTGCTCCTGCTCCTGTTGATGCTGCTGCTGCTGCTGCTGCTGCTGCTGCTGCTGCTGCTGCTGCTGTTCCTGCTGTGCTATGCCTGCTACTTTCACCTCTATATGTACGTCTTCTACCACTGCTAGTTTGCTAGTATTCTGACTCGGATATTCTCTTCTCTCTCTCTCGCTCTCCCCTTTGCTTTCCCTCTGCTGGTCGAACTATGACTCGCCAAGTTTCGCTTCGAGACCTTTGCTAAGGCAGGCAGGCACACCTTCGGACGAGATTGAAGCCATCGTTCGGACAGGATGTCGCGCGCATGACTTTCGGTTTTGGCTGAGGGCTCTGAAGGGTCTCTACACAAAACACCGTAGAGCTCAATGTCAAAGTCCTGCTTGTCCCGATCACTTTCAAAGTGAAACAGACATTGACCACAATATAGAACTGCCACAGGGCACTCCCTAACTTGCCCAGACACCTCAGCAGCCGCTCCTCCAAGCTTAGTTGAAGTTTTCACGGCGAGACCTGGCTCTCACAAAAAGAACTCTACTCCAAACATATCCCTTATATGAGAGCTTAGCGCAGTCGCTTCCAATTGGGTCTCAAGGCCAACTTTGCGTAGACAGCCTTGGCGCTGGACTGCGGGATCTGGAGTCCGATGGGCTGCGGCCTCTTCCTCCCTTCTCTTGCTGGTGCCTGCACGCCAGGCGATGCAGAACTGCTACGCTGCTACCACATTCCGGAGCACGCCGATATCTTCAACCCAGCAGCCTCATGAAGATCTCGCGCGCTGTGAGGTGGCGATTACCACCGTTGCTGATGTCATCACCTCTGTTGTCCCCACCGAAGCGCTCACCTTTGCCTCCCTTGCCCTTGCCGCCACCGCCGCCCCGATCGTCTCGTCGGTCATCTCGGCGGTCATAGTCGCGACGGTCATCCCGGCGGTCATCACGGCGGTCCCGGCGGTCGTCACGGCGGTCATCTCGCCGATCATATCCTCCGCGACGATCATCCCGGTCATAGCCACGGCCCCCGCCGCCGCCGCCGCCTCCGCCGCCCCCATCCAAAGAGACGTTCACGGCTCGCATCTTGCCTTTGCGATCGTCGTACTCCGCATCGAAACGGACCTTGTCCCCTTTGCCCAGGCCCTTGCACCCTTGCAGGCAGGATGAATGACAGAACAGGTCTTCGCTGCCGTCGTCTGGGCCTGAACAGGGGCACGAAATCGACCACTCAAGCCAACATGCGGACAAAGCCCCGAGAACGTGTGAGAGCAGCGTCGCCTATGAAGCCGAAGCCTTTGTCTTCCACCCAGTTCTTCACGACGCCTGACTTCGACATGCCTCCTGTCCGATTGGTTTACCCAGGCGTGTGGATGGTCGGTCTTCGCACTGCAAAGCCTCATAACTGCGGTCCTGGCAGTGGGGGGCGGGCACTGAACCCCTGCGCCTACTCTGCTGCTGGAACTCATGCAAACAAGAGCGGGACACATGAGGAATGAAGCGCCTGCCGTTTATACATGCGTCCAAGCTGGGGCAGGTGCGGCCAATGCCAAGACAGAATCGCCGTAGGCTGTGCAACCAGTCCGCTCAGCTCTACATGTGACACCCTGAGGCGACAACACACTCGGCACATCTCACGATGACTGAGCAGCTGCTGTCAATTTTATCCTGTGGTAACGCTGCGGCGGTACGTCTGCTGCCGCTCACGGAAACTTCTGGCCAGGAACTGAGTACGAAGCAGGATGCAAAATCAAAGCGTGCCGTGCGTTGGCGAAGCCATTGCGGTCAGCGGTTCTCACGACACGACGTTGTTGAATAAGCCAGTATGTCAACAGCGAGAAAAAACAGGAAGCTTCTCAACTTAGCATCAAGAGCGGAACCATCCAGCAGAAAGCGTGCTTCTTCACTGCTTTGGCCGAGCTGCTTCATAAAGCACCTGGTCGTGGTCGTTAGCCACACCTGCTTAACGACTTCATGCAGGCGATCGATAGAGAAGCGGAGGACAGGCCGAGTCGAGCAAGGTCCAATGGAGTCCAGGTCACGCTTTGAGAACACTCGAGGCCATCTTGTCAGCAAAGGCCGCAGAGATCTGCCTCAACTGCGAGGGTAAGAGATGCCGGAGGTAGCAGGGCTGTCAAAGCTCTCCCAACACAGACTGCTCGTGCACCTCCACAACTTCGTCGCCAGACTTAGTTGAAATTCTCGCGGCGAGACCTGCGCACAGGGCCACCGGGCACTGTGACCATTTCAGAAGGCGGTTCGGGGTTCATGTGCCATCATGTGCCCGCACGTGCTGAAAGGATGCCAGACGCCTTGGCGCTGGACTGCGGGATCTGGAGTCCGATGGGCTGCGGCCTCTTCCTCCCTTCTCTTGCTGGTGCCTGCACGCCAGGCGATGCAGAACTGCTACGCTGCTACCACATTCCGGAGCACGCCGATATCTTCAACCCAGCAGCCTCATGAAGATCTCGCGCGCTGTGAGGTGGCGATTACCACCGTTGCTGATGTCATCACCTCTGTTGTCCCCACCGAAGCGCTCACCTTTGCCTCCCTTGCCCTTGCCGCCGCCGCCCCGATCGTCTCGTCGGTCGTCTCGTCGGTCATCTCGGCGGTCATAGTCGCGACGGTCATCCCGGCGGTCATCCCGGCGGTCTCGGCGGTCGTCACGGCGGTCATCTCGCCGATCATACCCTCCGCGACGATCATCCCGGTCATAGCCACGGCCCCCGCCGCCGCCACCTCCGCCACCCTCCAGAGAGACGTTCACTGCTCGCATCTTGCCTTTGCGATCGTCGTACTCCGCATCGAAACGGACCTTGTCCCCTTTGCCCAGGCCCTTGCACCCTTTCAGGCAGGATGAGTGGCAGAACAGGTCTTCGCTGCCGTCGTCGGGGCCTGAACAGTGGGTGCGCGCGATCGAACGCTCAACCGATGACACAGACAAAGCCCCGAGAACGTGTGAGAGCAGCGTCGCCTATGAAGCCGAAGCCTTTGTCTTCCACCCAGTTCTTCACGACGCCTGACTTCGACATGCCTCCTGTCCGATTGGTTTACCCAGGCGTGTGGATGGTCGGTCTTCGCACTGCAAAGCCTCATAACTGCGGTCCTGGCAGTGGGGGGCGGGCACTGAACCCCTGCGCCTACTCTGCTGCTGGAACTCATGCAAACAAGAGCGGGACACATGAGGAATGAAGCGCCTGCCGTTTATACATGCGTCCAAGCTGGGGCAGGTGCGGCCAATGCCAAGACAGAATCGCCGTAGGCTGTGCAACCAGTCCGCTCAGCTCTACATGTGACACCCTGAGGCGACAACACACTCGGCACATCTCACGATGACTAAGCAGCCTGCTGTCAATTTTATCCTGTGGTAACGCTGCGGCGGTACGTCTGCTGCCGCTCACAGAATCTTCTGGCCAGGAACTGAGTACGAAGCAGGATGCAAAATCAAAGCGTGCCGTGCGTTGGCGAAGGCATTGCGGTCAGCGGTTCTCACGACACGACGTTGTTGAATAAGCCAGTATGTCAACAGCGAGAAAAAACAGGAAGCTTCTCAACTTAGCATCAAGAGCGGAACCATCCAGCAGAAAGCGTGCTTCTTCACTGCTTTGGCCGAGCTGCTTCATAAAGCACCTGGTCGTGGTCGTTAGCCACACCTGCTTAACGACTTCATGCAGGCGATCGATAGAGAAGCGGAGGACAGGCCGAGTCGAGCAAGGTCCAATGGAGTCCAGGTCACGCTTTGAGAACACTCGAGGCCATCTTGTCAGCAAAGGCCGCAGAGATCTGCCTCAACTGCGAGGGTAAGAGATGCCGGAGGTAGCAGGGCTGTCAAAGCTCTCCCAACACAGACTGCTCGTGCACCTCCACAACTCCGTCGCCAGACTTAGTTGAAATTCTCGCGGCGAGACCTGCGCACAGGGCCACCGAGCACTGTGACCATTTCAGAAGGCGGTTCGGGGTTCATGTGCCATCATGTGCCCGCACGTGCTGAAAGGATGCCAGACGCCTTGGCGCTGGACTGCGGGATCTGGAGTCCGATGGGCTGCGGCCTCTTCCTCCCTTCTCTTGCTGGTGCCTGCACGCCAGGCGATGCAGAACTGCTACGCTGCTACCACATTCCGGAGCACGCCGATATCTTTAACCCAGCAGCCTCATGAAGATCTCGCGCGCTGTGAGGTGGCGGTTACCGCCGTTGCTGATGTCATCACCTCTGTTGTCCCCACCGAAGCGCTCACCTTTGCCTCCCTTGCCCTTGCCGCCGCCGCCCCGATCGTCTCGTCGGTCGTCTCGTCGGTCATCTCGGCGGTCATAGTCGCGACGGTCATCCCGGCGGTCATCCCGGCGGTCTCGGCGGTCGTCACGGCGGTCATCTCGCCGATCATAGCCTCCGCGACGATCATCCCGGTCATAGCCACGGCCCCCGCCGCCGCCACCTCCGCCACCCTCCAGAGAGACGTTCACTGCTCGCATCTTGCCTTTGCGATCGTCGTACTCCGCATCGAAACGGACCTTGTCCCCTTTGCCCAGGCCCTTGCACCCTTTCAGGCAGGATGAGTGGCAGAACAGGTCTTCGCTGCCGTCGTCGGGGCCTGAACAGTGGGTGCGCGCGATCGAACGCTCAACCGATGACACAGACAAAGCCCCGAGAACGTGTGAGAGCAGCGTCGCCTATGAAGCCGAAGCCTTTGTCTTCCACCCAGTTCTTCACGACGCCTGACTTCGACATGCCTCCTGTCCGATTGGTTTACCCAGGCGTGTGGATGGTCGGTCTTCGCACTGCAAAGCCTCATAACTGCGGTCCTGGCAGTGGGGGGCGGGCACTGAACCCCTGCGCCTACTCTGCTGCTGGAACTCATGCAAACAAGAGCGGGACACATGAGGATGAAGCGCCTGCCGTTTATACATGCGTCCAAGCTGGGGCAGGTGCGGCCAATGCCAAGACAGAATCGCCGTAGGCTGTGCAACCAGTCCGCTCAGCTCTACATGTGACACCCTGAGGCGACAACACACTCGGCACATCTCACGATGACTAAGCAGCCTGCTGTCAATTTTATCCTGTGGTAACGCTGCGGCGGTACGTCTGCTGCCGCTCACAGAATCTTCTGGCCAGGAACTGAGTACGAAGCATGATGCAAAATCAAAGCGTGCCGTGCGTTGGCGAAGGCATTGCGGTCAGCGGTTCTCACGACACGACGTTGTTGAATAAGCCAGTATGTCAACAGCGAGAAAAAACAGGAAGCTTCTCAACTTAGCATCAAGAGCGGAACCATCCAGCAGAAAGCGTGCTTCTTCACTGCTTTGGCCGAGCTGCTTCATAAAGCACCTGGTCGTGGTCGTTAGCCACACCTGCTTAACGACTTCATGCAGGCGATCGGTAGAGAAGCGGAGGACAGGCCGAGTCGAGCAAGGTCCAATGGAGTCCAGGTCACGCTTTGAGAACACTCGAGGCCATCTTGTCAGCAAAGGCCGCAGAGATCTGCCTCAACTGCGAGGGTAAGAGATGCCGGAGGTAGCAGGGCTGTCAAAGCTCTCCCAACACAGACTGCTCGTGCACCTCCACAACTCCGTCGCCAGACTTAGTTGAAATTCTCGCGGCGAGACCTGCGCACAGGGCCACCGGGCACTGTGACCATTTCAGAAGGCGGTTCGGGGTTCATGTGCCATCGTGTGCCCGCACGTGCTGAAAGGATGCCAGACGCCTTGGCGCTGGACTGCGGGATCTGGAGTCCGATGGGCTGCGGCCTCTTCCTCCCTTCTCTTGCTGGTGCCTGCACGCCAGGCGATGCAGAACTGCTACGCTGCTACCACATTCCGGAGCACGCCGATATCTTCAACCCAGCAGCCTCATGAAGATCTCGCGCGCTGTGAGGTGGCGGTTACCGCCGTTGCTGATGTCATCACCTCTGTTGTCCCCACCGAAGCGCTCACCTTTGCCTCCCTTGCCCTTGCCGCCGCCGCCCCGATCGTCTCGTCGGTCGTCTCGTCGGTCATCTCGGCGGTCATAGTCGCGACGGTCATCCCGGCGGTCATCCCGGCGGTCTCGGCGGTCGTCACGGCGGTCATCTCGCCGATCATAGCCTCCGCGACGATCATCCCGGTCATAGCCACGGCCCCCGCCGCCGCCACCTCCGCCACCCTCCAGAGAGACGTTCACTGCTCGCATCTTGCCTTTGCGATCGTCGTACTCCGCATCGAAACGGACCTTGTCCCCTTTGCCCAGGCCCTTGCACCCTTGTAGGCAGGATGTGTGGCAGAACAGGTCTTCGCTGCCGTCGTCGGGGCCTGAACAGTGGGTGCGTGCGATCGAACGCTCAACCGATGACACAGACAAAGCACCGAGAACGTGTAAGAGCAGCGTCGCCTATGAAGCCGAAGCCTTTGTCTTCCACCCAGTTCTTCACGACGCCTGACTTCGACATGCCTCCTGTCCGATTGGTTTACCCAGGCGTGTGGATGGTCGGTCTTCGCACTGCAAAGCCTCATAACTGCGGTCCTGGCAGTGGGGGCGGGCACTAAAAGCGCCGGGAATACCGTTAGGCCCCTACGCCGATCCTACCGCTGGAACTCAGGCAAACCGAGCAAAAAAGCAGTCATGCGGTCCAAGCCAGGACAGGTGCACCCAAAGTGACTGAGACACAGGCAAGTTTACAGCAGAGGCAGCATTTTTGTCGTTGACAGTTGCGGCCGCTGGTGTACATCTGCGACTCATGCGAAGTTGTCGCGTCGGACCCTGAGCGCTTTGTAGCTCTCGGCTCGTTCTGGTCTCTGCTTTTAGAGGGGTCTCCAAGGCAGCTTCCACTACAGAAGAACCTCCTAAATCTGCTGGGCCCTGGATCTGACCGGAGTGCATCTTACGAGATGAAACTACGAGGGGACGGAGCAAGACCGGATATTATGGCCAAAGAGCTAGAATGCTGGGACAGGTCAAGCCGGGGTTAGACCAATCCGATCCGGTCATCACACTTTCAAAGAACGATGGTTGCTCCGCTGCCGGAGTCGAGGGATTCCCCTGCTGCTGCCAGTCTGCCCTCACTGCAACCAGATTTCGGTTTCCCCTTGTCCCGTGCTGCCTGTTTTGCCGAGGGCCTATCGGGGACATCCGCGACTCAGACTCAGCAAGAACCAGTCAACATACGTGCCGCGCATCCAAATTTCAAGACACGAAAGATGAAAGGCCAAGCACTCTGAGGTGACGTCAACAGGAAGAACACAGTAAACCTGAACTGCCCTCTCGAATGCAATCTTCATCCGAGCAGCTCCATCAAGATCCTCGGCTGCGGCTTGTCCCGACAGTCTTGCACAGCTCTTCTGCCATTCTTCTGACCGTCTTTCTCAACTCTCTGTTCCGTTCGGGACCTTGAGACCTTACCGTAGAGAACTAGCAACAGACAGCCAACACGACGGCCAAAGGCTTCGGGTCGTGGCCACCAGTGAGGCCTTCCTGGCCCAGAGACGGGCACAATGCTGCGCAGGCCGTGCCAAGAAGCTTCGGGAGCCCGTCTACGACATGTCCGATTTCAGTTTGGAAGTAAACTCTCACACACACACAGGGACAGACAGAGACAGACGCACCAACTCTCCGTTCCGACATTGATTCTGCCGGGTCGCGTGGTATTCGGGACCATCTCGCTCGCAAAAGCAGGCTGTTGCTGCGGAAAGGTCTTCAAGATAACCTCGGAACTTCAGGCACAGCAGACGGCCGCAGCCATCAGGCAGATATGCCCCGATACGCACAAGCTCGGGCAACATGCCTTCAATCCGAACCCCGTGCATCGCCTCGTTCATACTTCATTCCTCGAAAGTTCGTATGTCACTTGCCCAAAAGGCAACTGCTAATAGTCTTTAAGGATTCCACATCTGAGGGGAAGACTTTCTGGAGCCGCGTGTAGTAGAGCAGAAGCTGTGTCAAGACCTGATGCTTGAGGAGAGGTCTTGTCAGCGTTGAAGGGTAATAGAGGGGCCTTAATAATTGGAGTAGCGTTTGGGGGCCCATTATACTATAGTTATGATAAGGAACCCCCAAAATGGAATTGGTAACTATTTAGACCCTATATTATGCACCGGCTGTCCGGGAGCTGGGGTAATTACAGTACACTGCGCCATCCATCTTGATCGACGGTCATCGACTAGCCACAGCACTGGCCCTCCGCAATCGGTTTAGGGTTTATTGCAGCCAGCATACCTGCTTCAAGATCTCCATTCCTCGGCTTCACGAAGCATGCTTCATGCCAGACTGTCTCAGCATGATCTCTCAGGCCCCGAAGCCACAAACATCGTAAGATCCCCGGTTCACAGCACCCAGCATCAGCCAGTGCGGCCCCAAGCACCGTTGGAGAAGTTGCTGAAAGAAACCATGACGTACTGGTGGATCTGATCCCTCTCCTTCCAGAAAAGTGCAAGCAAAGGCGGGAGTGGCCGAAGATTTACCTGACCAGGCTGGGGCCCTGAAGCCCTAAGAGGCTGAGGCCGAAGATGGAAGACACCAGGCCTAACCGCTCTCTCCCTGCTCTCTGCCCAACGAACGGGTCCCTCTTCCAGTTCGCCGCGAAGTTGCGAACCACCTGGAGATCCAAGCCATGGTGGTCGTTTCTTTTCAATTTCTATACTTCCTGCTGCTGTAAAAGAGAGTCTGGGCTGCATAGCAAGAGTATGCGAGGGTTGCATTGCGCTGCAGTTGCAGCACGACATATCGCCCAAATGTCAACTGTTGCAGTTCAACGGCCCAGGGTACGGCACGGGCAAAAGTCACCTCTCTCTGAGTTGCGGGGATTGCGGAAGCAGCGAAACCATCTCAAAAACGACTATGATGAGACATGAGAAACCTAGGCCCATAAACTGCCATAAACATGAACCCTAAAGCTTTTAAAGTCCGAACCCTGAACCCTAATTCGAAATACAACAAGAGTTCTGGCCTGCTCCATTTTCTGCACATCGACGCCTGCGCATCAGGTGACATTATGAAGGGAGCTTCGAGTCAGCTTCAACAGCTCTTGACCCTGGTCCTCAAATTCAGCGCACACACACAAGCTCATAAGCTGATTCCAAAGCACCGGCCATTTTGCGTAAAAAGTCTGTCTCTTGCGACTAGATCAACACCGGAACCTGGATGAAAAAGTTCCTCGGGATTGCAATATGGATCCTCGTGTTTGGATGGTGTGACGACAACCTTCGGCTGTTGGTTTCATTACTCCGTCTGAAGCTTAGACTCTAGACTTTAGAGCTTCAGGGTTGAGGTGAAGCCTTCCCTCGAAACCCTAAACATCCGGAAACCCTAGACATCGCTAGAGTTTTGGGTGTGTATTAGACTATGTTTATAATGCGGAACCCGCAAAATAGTACAAGTAAGTATTTAGGCCGCTATATTACCCAAAGAGCAAGTAACGCCGCAGGAACAGAGACGGAGATTTCTTGGCCTGGTGGTGGGGATTGGCTCGGCTGCGATCGGGCCGTCGCCTGAAACGTAGCATGGAAGAGTGAAGTAAGACAATTACCACGACAGGATCTTAAACTCCAAAACTAAACGCTGGTGCTCCGGCTTTAGTTTTGCAACTCCGGATGTTGGGTGCGTTTCCTAGACCCAAGAGAAACCTAGGAAGACAAAGGGTGCTCTTTTGGATTTAAAGGTTGTTATAAGGGAACCTGAAATCTAAAGAAAGGGAATAAGGGCCTACTCTGGGTCCTAGCTTCGGCTTTCTGTCCTCCAGGATAGGATGTCATACGGAGTACACCGAGGGATTTGGGGTTTAGGGACGTTTAAGGCTTAGTTTCTCAATGACGGCTCTTGGGGTTTAGGAGATGGGGCTTCGAAGATACCGGAACTATGAAGCCGGACATGCTCAAAAGCACCAGCAAGCACAGCAAAGCACGAGAGTTATTCAGGTGATGCGTACTTAAGGACTAGGAAGGAAAACACACACACACACACCACACACACACACACTGGGTTAACCCACGTGGAGGCTGTCACCCGAGCCGCGCAGGTCTGCTTGCGGTCTACTTCCCGAGGATAAGACAAAAAGATACATATATATATATATATGTGGAAGAGAGGCCTCGTCAATTTTTGCCACGGCCTCAGTCCCGCCAAGACGCAGTTGGGCAGCTAATGGTGCCGAAGCGCGGGGAGCTCTAAGATCCAAGCAGGCTCCGTGTTCTTCACAAACCTTTCGGAAGCGCCGGTTGAAAAGCGCGTCTGACATTGGTAGGAGGAGCTTCTGAGCGCCAGGCGTCACGAGATCCGGGTAGTGGCGCATCAGCTGGCTTTCGACCTCGGCAAGCTGAGATCCTACCGTAAGCTCCTGAAGAACAGGACTGAGACGGCCCGGCGAGGCCGCTGAGTCCCCAGCAAACTTTTGCACCTGGTCGCGCAACAGATCCTGAAGGAAGACACTAAATGGAAGAGTGTGAACTAAAACTAGCCAAGCTCCCCTCGATCTGTGCCCGGTAATCTGTAGGTAGGTCCTCAAAAACGGAAGTTGCGTTCCGGGAAAGGTGGCGCTCGTGAAAGACGGTCAGCACCTGCTCATGTCTTCATACCCAGATCCACCCACTCGTCCGTCCGGCACAGGTCAGAACATAGGCTTTTCAGCAACAGTACCATTGCCAGCATCCCATCCCTGGAATTTCCCGTTCAAGCTGTCCACTCCCCTACAAGGGCCCACCAAGTCGTAGTTGTTCACGAGAAAGACAAGGCCGGAGTCCTGCCTGCCACATCTTGTCATGCCAAAACCAAACTGGCTTCGAAACGAGCATCTGGCAGTCGCAAGACACTCCTCTAAGCTAATGAAAAGCCCTCTAACTTGGGAAGGAGCCCTAAAGCCTAAACCCTAAACCCGAAACCCAGGAGGACTGAACGAGAACCCCACTATGGCAGGCTATAATTAATGGTAATAGTATCCTTTTGTAGTTTACGATACCGTAGTAGTGTTCTACTCGAAGAGAAAGGGACGGGACGAGGTGCCCATCCAAGCGGTTCGCCATGGCCGAGAGCAGCGTGCAGAACTCCTGGGGTTTAGGGATTTACGAGTTTAGGGGTTTAGAGTTCGGGGGTTAAGGGCTTAGGGGTTTAGGGGGTTAGGGTTTAGGGGCTTAGAGGTTCGGGGTGTCGGTTAAGGGGTTTAGGGCTTCGGACTCCCAGGAAGGTTGGCCGGGCGTGTTCGAGCACCCTCTTGGACAGGACGTTTGCAGCTTAATCCCAAGCTTTCAGCCCTTAACCCGAAGGCCCTAAACATCTGGGAGTTTCCGATAATAGGGAACCCTAATGTTGTACCCTAAATAGTAGGATCCTTATTATAAGGATCCCAAAATACCCAAAAATTAGGTATCCCTAATTTTCGGAAACTCCACTCTGACGTTGGCAGACTCCTGCCGCATGGCGGCCAAAGGCTGTTGCCTCGGTCCGACGAGGCTAGAAGGCGGAAAATCCCTAAACCGACGATGCTCAAACTATCTCGACTTGAGAAGGCGTAGTTTGAACTCGAAAGCCCGCCGTAGCACCAATATGTCAGAAAGCAACTCTTAGCATCAGATGGACACTAAAGTCACTAAACGCCTAAAGCAGGCATCCGAACCCATGAACTCACCGGGATCCCGGCAAGGTGTCCGGAAGGCCGCTGTCTTCGCTGGAGCTCAGGAAGTACAAAGACGCCGCGAGCTCGGAAAACCTGCCAACTCCAAGGGATTGACGGCCCAAAAGGGAGCTCATGGTTTCCGGGTTTTAGGACCTCGAGGGGTTGCTATGCTCGATGTATACAGGGAATTCGACGAAGAGGACCCTCACACATGAAGATCTCCGGACCTGTAGACTGTGTGGGGCAATGGGGTGCCTTGCATGTAGCGAATGGGGCAACCTGTGTGCTGCAGAAACCATGTCTGCAGAGTCCCCAAGCACGCAGCAGCAAGCGAAAGCAGTTAGTGGATTCAGCCTCCTCGTCACCAAGTGCGGATTGTTGTTCGTCGGTGCTTGCAGGTTCTGCTGGTAGGCCTGCTCGGGTGGACGAACAGCGAGCATGAACAAAGGCGCATCCTGTACATCAAATGCAAAGAACCGCAGCAATATAGGGGTCTTAATAATTAGAATAAGGCTTTTGGGTATATTATACTATTATAACTGTAATAAGGCCCAAACATAGTATAGGTAATTATTGTGGCCCTATAGATTATCATGAATGTTATGTTTATCATTATTATTAATACTACTACGATTTTTACTATGATTACGATTATTACTGTTGTTACTATTGTTACCATTATTGCTGTTATTACTATTATTACAACTGTTACTTACTATTCTTACAATTATTACTATTATTGCTATTATTCCTATTATTACCATTGCGAGCAGTAGAGAGGTGCATCGCCTTCCGGAGAGACACGATGTTAGCATCCAGCACCACTCGGAGCCTTGGCCTGCGAGGACACGCTGCTACGAGTGCCACAGGTGCTGACGGCTGCGGCTTCTGCCACCGGCACTTCTTTCAATATCTTTCTATATAAAAGTGTGTATATACAATAAAACTATAATAAATCATATTAGTTTATATTATATTGTAATTGTATAAATATTTATATATATATATATATATATATATACATATATATATATATATATATGTATGTATATATATTGTGTAGAATATACATATATACATATTATATGGCCACAACGACGATAATAGCTTTGCTGGTGGCGACAACGACGACCATGCGTCTGTCGACCCGATGATCATGCTTTTAAGCCTTAGCACCTGCACAACGTTTGGGCTCAACCTTCCGATCCTGAGACTCTAGATAGCCCAGCAGTCCTCCAAGAAATGTCAGAGAAGGTCCTCTTGTTTCTCAGTGCCAACACTACTCGCACAGCAATCATGCTGATAAACAGTTACAACGACGACTACCACCAAATTCATTCCAAAAGCAATGATACTCTTTTCCTGGTACTGTCCTTCCTCTTGTCGCTGTGGCTGTTCTTACCGCTCCATAATTTCGAGACCGATCATTTCGACTCTTCGAAAACAAATGCTGGCCCCTGAGTCAGACCCCGAGCTTGGGCGCCCCTGCCAGAGAAGCAGCTGCAGGGCATCCAAGTAGGAGTCCAGACAGCTGACCTGCCCCGCAAGATCGTTTCGTGTCGCGGCTCGCCAGACTCAGGGCTTAGGGCAGTCTCTTCGTTCAGTTTCTCATTGACTCTCAAGTTGCTGCCGTATGTGCGTGTGTACAGAGCTTTTACACGTAGTTAAAAACACTCATAAGATGTCCATATGTGTTCGCACAAGAATGTACATGATGCATGCACGGAACAGCGTTCGCATAAGAACGTACATGTTCCATGCATGGAACAATATACATACCTGCAAGTTAAATGTGCATGTGGCACTGATATATTCATGTATTGTGCGTCTTATCACATGTACTAGTAATGCTTCCTCACGAGAAGATGCCACGACGAAAGGGCCCAACAAAAGGCCCCAACAAGCGCCCCGACTGACACTGCACCATGTGGAGTTGAGTATGCACAAACCATGGGCAAACACTTTAAATGCAGGCCTTGTAGCAGAGACTTGAAGCACCGTTGCTTGCATTCATCATGCAGAACGATGCAAGACAGAGCCCGAGAGCTATGTTCTGGCTTTCAGCATTCACGGCCTATGACAAGGGCTCTGACTCACGACCCTAGGCACGAGCACCACCGAAAACGGGAGAGGTACACAGCGCGAAACTACCTCCCTGAACTAGGGACTTAGAAAAGGATGCTGCAACTCAGTGGGCCTTGCGCTGCTGCATGCGCTTCCTGTAGAAGTCCACGATTCGAACCATCAGCAACAACCCAACCTCAGAGCTTGCAGATCTGCAGAGTTGGAGCTTCTGCTGCGGAAGCGGCTCTCGGTTCTGGCCTGGCATGCAATAGACATTCTGAATGCTGCATGTAACTGAACTGCTGCAACCGGAAGTCAATCTTGACATCTCCACTTGCTGCTGGAACCGAAGTCGAATCACAGTGATCTTGGATCACGGTTTGTTCACCTAGCCGCTCGCCTTTTTGAGCCTGAACTCTAGTCCCTGAAGCTGACATCCAAACGAACATGGGAACCGTACCGCACTGGTATCATCAGATAAGCATGTAGCACGAGCAGCATCATGAGCGACACTGCTCGGAATCAAAAACGAGGAGGGAATGAGAAAAAGAACGTGAGCGTTACACTCCTCTTGACGTCCGAAGGGCCGAGTCCCAGCAGTTGCCAAGGAAGCCCTCAAGAGCGTCTAGGAAGTACCTGAGAGGATGGAACAAAGTCTTTGGAGCTGAAGCTTTGGACTTTGGGCTTGGGTTTTTGGATTAGGCTTTGGGTTTAGTTCCTGTGTTTGGAGGACCTCTTCCTCTTCGGGTGGGGGCATGTTCGCGGCTCGAAATGGAACCACGGCTCTGGCACTGTTCGGGTCGGGTTTCGGCTGTAGAGATGAGAGTTCAGGGCTTTTGTGATTCAGGGATTTGGGATTTGGGGTTTGTTTTCCAGACAGGTCCACACCTGCGGAGTCTTTCCCGGCTGCCGGTATCGAAAGACAATTTGGCACTACTCGCAAATAAGAAGCATGAATATGTGGGTCGTGATTTTTCAACTCCTTGATTCCTCATTCTCTGCATCTTCAACTTTGTTTCTGCCCTACTCGCTCTGTTCGAGCTTAGAACGGAAGGGAAGGTCTCCTCTAGCTCGAGCTGCATCTCCTGCTGCCTCTGAGTGCCCTGCTGCGTCGTCTTTCCGAAGACTTCCTGGGTCTACGACACTCGCAGCGGAACCGCTGTATTGAGGCATCTTGCTGTAGTTTGCCCTCGAACAAAGCATAGCCAAGCATCCACAAAGAGACCGATTTCACCCTTAGTGTCGAAGAAGTCGTTCAGGAAGAGGAACTCGGAGGTTGCAGTGTCCTCTCATGGCAGAAAACTGGCATTCTACCGCGTTCCTCATGTCGAAGATTCATGGTACTCAAGACAGTTCCGCAGCTGAGTTACCCGAGCACCGCGAAAAGTTATATCCGTTCTCTAGCGCTTCTGATGCTCCTTTACGACGACAACCACAATGACGACGACAATGACGACGATGGTGCCGACGACGATCACTACTAGTTAAGCTACTAGTGGCTGCTTCTTCGATTAATTATTCCCATATCCGTGGTCTTAGAGAGGTCCATCAGCAACATCTGGTGGCTTCGGAAGAGCTGCTCGTGATAGTACTTGATCTTGTCCTGTCAAACGTCCAGCGCAGGCATGCTTCTGCATGATCGTCAGTGCAGCATAATCAAACAGATCACAAAACCTCCAGAGGCTCGCCTTGTGTGACAATAGGTTTGTCTTCACTCTCATCGTTCTCTCTCTCTCTCTCTTGCTTGCCTGCTTGCAGGGCGTTTGGGGTACAGGGACGGACCCTGTGACCCCTGCGCGCGAGCGCTACGCCATTGTTCGAGTTCGGTGTGAGACTAGTCAATCTCTCTCTCTCATCGGCAGTCCACGATAAATCGATAAACGAAGAGGTGTCGATGGCACTTTCGCGCGTGCTGTTACAATCTTGACGATGCTGGTTTCATGGCGGCAGTCGTACATCATGGCTACAAAGATTCGAATTCCGCATCACTTCTTCGCTCCTGAGGCTCAATCTGTGGAAAGAGCTCTTCCTGCCAGTCCCCCAAATTGCTGTGGAAACTCTCTGACTTGCCTTGTTCGTGTGGGCAATGATGGGATCTCGATCCAGCTGCTCAAGGATCGCATCCCGACCTGTCCGTGTAGAAGGCACTGGGCAAAATGAGGCTTCGCGGTGGGGTCTTGGGATTTGGCTGCGGCTTGGTCTTTAGCCATGGTTCTGCATGTGGTGTTTCTCAGTCTTGGAAGCTCTCTAACAGACTCTCTCTGTCGTTTGGGCCTGGGGCGTAGTAACCAAGAGAATCTGCTTGGAAAGACTGCTCATGCCGTGAACGGGGACGGATTTGTTGACAAACAGGATGGCTGACTGCATTGCGAGGCCGAGAGTGAACGACGGCCGATTAAGCCCAAAGCTGGTCAAATTCAAGCACCTCGGCGAAATTAGACCAACAACCTGCTTAACCACCGGACCCTCTAATTTTCGCCAGGATGGGATTCGGTGCTGAAAGAAGTTGCATTGATATGACACAGCTGCCACCCTTGATTCCACCAACGGCACATTGACTTCGTGCTGGCAGAGGCCGTTCCTGGTCTCGTCAAGAGGCGTGGTTGTATTTTGACTACGGCAACTCGCTGCCTGGTCCATCCAACTCTGCGTTAGCTCTGTGCTGTGAATTGGGCCGCATTGGACCTGCATGTAGCAGTCACAAACAACTGCTGCTCAGATTATCTGAACGTTAAATCCAAAGGTCTTTTGGAAGCATCACCATCAGGAATATCGATAATCTCAAAGTCGGCATTTCTGCGTCGTGCCGTCTAAGTTGCTTTCGGCTTCTGCGGTTGCTGCTTGGATGTAGCATCTGCCTGGTGTGTTCTTGTCTGCTGATCTGGCTGCATTGCTTGCGAGTCGTCGCGAATCTTGTCTGAAAAGCGCGCGGTAGTTGCCATCCAACAACTGGTTTCAGCCTCAATGATGGCCTCACCGGTTTGGATGAGCTTGGAAGTGTTTGTAACTGCGGCTCTGTCGACCTCGGTCAGGGTTCTCCACCACGACTGCAACTCTTTCAGGTCACCGACAATCTTCGTATACCGATCCTCAGCTGTTCATGGGCAGTTATTTTGCAGTTAGAGCGTTAGAGCTCACAGATACCAACACTCCATGAAAACAAAGCCGACTTTCCTCTCTGGGCGGGCATCTGCCTTTGCCTTGTAGTCTTTTGTCTGGGTCCAGGAGAGAATATAACCTGACAAGGAAACGATCACCACAAGCAACCGCTGCCAGCCCATGTAAGATATCCCGGTGCTAGCCAAACTGAGAAATATCAGCAGCATCCGTGATACGAAGTGCATACGTCGATTCCGAGGTAGCCTTCGACCATAAAGCTCCACCATACCGTGTATACGACACCGCATGTACTGATCCCCCGTCAATGGTACGGTGTCCAGGAGCCTTCCGCCAAGACTACTTGCAGAAAGGACCATCCTGGATGAGTCTACTCGAGAGTTCGGATCCACGAACATGCTGTTCCTTTTTGGACTCCGCGCTGCTGTTGCTTCGGGCGCTTCATTCACCAACGAGAGCTGTCTTTTTGGACGCAGTGCTGCTGATGCTTCGGACGCTTCTGACACAGCCGGCTGGATAGGCACAGCCTGGCTTCGTTCCTCAAGATCCAGTGTTGATCGTTGTCTTTCGGGCTTCAGACCATATCTGCTGTTGCCAGCTGGCGGACTCTTTCTGTCTTCTCCGCGCTTCTGATCATGAGACTGCTCTTCTCCCTCGAACTTCTCGTTGGAGATTTCCTTGTCTGCAAAGAAGCTTTTGTCAACCGACTCAGCTGCAGGGAGGATCGAGTTCCGCCAGCTGGCCAAGGCCCGATGCAACTCGTACTCGGGACTTGTCCAGTCCGGACGATTGATTATCCTGAAGGGACCAGTCCGTGTTCGATACTGCCACATCGTCGATTCGAGCTGACATGCCTGAGTCCGAAACAATTGCCACCGCATGCGCGGATTGAGGAAGGACTCGATACCCAGCACAAGCGAGGTGCAAATGGTCAGCAGAAACAGAATGAGGGCAAGAGGAAGCTCATGGGCGAGATTGAAAAGCAAGCCGAGGCCATCTGAAGCAACATCTGAAGCACTGCCCAGGACAGTGCTGTTACCATCTGGGGTTGGAATAGGACTCAAAGATACTGCCGTAAAGAGTACAGTAGTCCAGCCCAACCAAAGCCGAATGCAGATCAAGGACAAGCAGACGAGCTTGTATTTGCCGGCCAGCTTGTGACTTTTCTCCAAGTAGTGATCAGCATCCAAGAGTAGCTCGCTTTGGGGTTCTTTTCAGGGAGGCGGTTCATAGTCGCCAGTGCCAGAATCCTGTGGCTAATTGTTGTGTTCATGTCGTGATGTATGTTTATCCCGTGGGTAAATTTTGAAAGCAGGACATGTTGCAAAGTCAATGTCATCGCCCTCTGACGTACGTTGAAGAACTCATCGGCAAGCCTGGCAACTTCATCATCCTCAGAACACGCCTTTGAACTGCTTTCCTTTTGGCCTTCCAACTGACCAGCCATACTCTTGCGGTCAGGCGGACTCCCGCTTGAATTTGCGTTTCCATTCACCTTCGTTTTGTCCTCCTCCTGCCGCTTGCGCTTCTTATTGTCTGCCAGTTCCTTTCTGATTTCTTCCCCGAAGACCTGCTTCGTGGACTCCCAAACGGTGCAGGAGAGCTGGTGTGCGATGTCTGCGCAGATCTTCTCGTCAGCCGTCACGTTCCGCAGAAGCTCCGAAAAATGGGCGATTGTACAGGCATCGAAAGTCTCCACGAGCTGCTTCTCTGCGAGATCGTCGCAAAGTTTCTTAAACTCCTCCATCGTTTCTTTAAGGATATGAGAGGCCTGATCGTCCAGCGCACATAGTTCGTGCTTCGCCTTTTTCAGCTTTGACTTATTGCCTGCCAGGTCTGCATGACAACCACTGCAAAACAAGAATGTTGGGTCTAGGGTGCCTGGTTTCGGGCTGCTCTCAGCGATCCTGGTGACAGTCGTAGTTGTCGAAAGACTAAGATAAAATTGTCCCCGCAAACTGGAACAAACCCACGCAAACCACAGGGAGGAAGGACGACGGAGGCGACGGGTGTCACTGCAATGATCCGCCGCACGATAGCCTGTGCTTCTGCGCAGAGGGGAGACGCATCAGAGCAGGGAGCACCATAACGATGACATTACTACTAACAAACGTCTGCAACCATACCTCTGCAGAACACACTGCCGGCCTACCCTTGTCTAAGCTTCAGCGCACATGATGGGAGGAATGGGGAGACCAGAGATCAACAGTCCAAGCAAGACCGCAGACGCCCCGCATCATGTATGTCTTTATGTCTGTACGTCCCTTGGTATGCCTGTCTGCATGCAGGCGACACTACCCCCCCACTGATAACTAGTCGACTATCCCTACATGTATTTGTAGGACCCGCGTACTAAGTTCCCGTTAGACAAGTTCTGGCAGGTGTATCCACACCTTCTCGACGGAGTTGAACCAGCTGAGCCTCTAGATCAGCACCTGCATGCAGCTCTGAGGTTAAAGTGCGCGTTGCTACGACTATGAGGCCCGCGTTGGTCGGCTGGCCACGCTCAGGCCCTTAAAGACAAATCTTGACAGAGATCGACGTCTGCTTATTGCTGGCGCTTCTGAAGACTCCTTCCTTAATCTGGCAAGCGAGGCACGTTGTTGTTTGATGTTGTCTGCGTTCCATCCTTTCTGCCTTTTCCGCACATCGATCCAAACCACCGGCATGCCTGCAGCAGAAAAATTCCAAGCGGCCTGTAAAGTGCTCGGGTCAGATGTAGCTCCAAACCCATCAGCCGAAGCGACTCTGTCGCCACCACCTGTCCTGGGCTGATACAACATGCAAGAAACGTGAGCTGGTGGCATTGGCAAATGACAAGACATGAACCACAAGAAACAATATTCCAGCTTTCAGCTGCCTTGGATCTTGATTGCAATCACTGGAAAAGATGTCCAGAAGGACTCCAGCAATCTAGTCATCAAGTTGTTGTACGGTGTGTTTCGGCCGAAATGGTTGTCTTCGCTCAACGAATCTACCAGCATGAAGTTCTGTCCCATACCCTCCAAGTCAAAGTCTCCGGAAAAAGGAATGCCTCAAGCCTCTCTGTCATCCTTTGCCGATGCCAAGGCCTGTTCACGCCTTCTCCATCGTTTGCACTTTCTGGCTAAATTTATCCACCACTTTGTCTCGGAAGTAGAGCAATAGAGGTGGAGCATCATCGGCGTCGTATAAACAATGGTAAATGGAAGCCTCTTCCATCGCTGTCTGTTAACTGCAACCACATTTGTAAGGGCCTGCGTGAGAGCACACACTCCCCGGATAGCAGAGCACAGAATCAAGGCGTTTGTCTGCTCCGCCAGTGGCAAAATCACCTCAGACATAAAGCGCTGCAGCTGCTGTTCCACCACTAAGTCCTCCTGGCCTTCTTGTCCCAGGAAAGGTGTTTTTCTATGCACCATACCGGCAGAGAAAACAACATTGAAGGAGTCGGTCAAGTCCACATGGTCTCTGAACCCCTTCGACATGCAAAGATTGATGACTAATTTTGGCCGGGGCGTTGCCTGAAACGCTGACAAAAACTTCTCTTCCATCCCTTCTGTCTCTGACAGGAGGTCTGCTTCGTAGTTCTGCAGGAAAAGAACTCGCCGCTGAAGTCCTTCCACCTTTGGCTTATCTACCATCTGCTCCAGTGCCGCAACTTGCAGCTTGGAGAACACTGCTTCGTCGAATTTTTCGGCAAACGCAGATGCCTTTGGAGTTGCAAAAACTGCCTGCCGCAACCTGGGCTGCAGCGCGGGACAACCGGTCGCAGAGAGGGTTATCATGCTAGATACACGACAACATCTGGGCGCACCAGCTGCTCCCGCTAAAACCTACATAAAGCCCACAGGTAGCTGGAAACACCCTCAACCCACTGACCGTCCCACGAAAGATTCCTGGTTGGCTGAAGCTGTTACGAGTGGCAGACCCATCCCCTTTTGCATCCTTTTGCCGCATTCCACGAAAAAGCTTCGGCCCTTCAACTCAACGCCAAACACTTCCCAACACCAGCTACTTGCAATCAAAATCA